TAGTCCCACGTGAAGAAACATGGCCGGTACTGCGACGTGTTCTCGCCCTGGCTATCTCTCTTTTCTCAAACATCTGAAGGAGTTGGAGTCAGCAGTAACAGATCCAGGGGGTCTGGCGGTGGAACTGTACAGCAATGGCCTGATAGATAGAGTGACGCGACAGAGAGCGTCCCTCGTTTCCGTGACGCAACTAGAGCGTAGTCGAGAACTGCTACAGAAGTTGGAGGATAAAATCGAGTCAGAGGAGTCCGTTTTTGACCTACTTATATCTATACTTGTTAAACATCCGACAATGGAGGACATATGCACGAAGTTGAAGACTACCAGAGGTAGTAGTAGCTACGTAGCTATGTTAGTAGCAAGGATGTAGTAAAGGCGCATGCGTAGTGTATACTGTGTACTCATGTACAATAATATTCCACACTCTAGATGAGCTCAAAGATGACATAATACAGGGCCGAAATGCACCTGAAGAGCACCAGTCATGTAAGTGCATTGTGTAAACATGATTTGTATCATAATACCCCCTTTTATACAGCATGGATCACCACAAGAATGATCTTTATAATATTCACACTGCTTATCATCATACTTGGTGTGCTGTGGCCTAAGCTGGACTGCTACCAGCTGGGACTCTGCCACTCAAAGAGTCTGCCATCTGTGAGTCATTTTGTCGGTCGAGAGGAAGACATTCGCAACATCACTGGCTACCTTGACTTCTACACCTCAGATGTTCAGGTAGTTCACATTGTTGGACCTCCTGGGTTCGGTAAATCCACTCTGGCCATGAAAATTGGGGAAATATTCTAAGGAGATGGGTTAGTGTTCATTATGTAGATGTCGGTCAAAAAATGGTTAGAGATATTGATACTCTTGCTGAGAAGATTGTACTCAGTATGGTTGAGTCCCGTAAGACTAAGGTAACATTCAGTGATTTGGAGGAAAAGATACGAAGCAATATTCAAAAACATTAATAATACTAGACAACTGTGATGAGATTTTGGAGCATTCAAAGGAGGAATTTGTGGATGCATTAAAGTCATTAACTGCTCTGTCCCAAAAACGTGTGAGGTATCTTCTTACTAGCCAAAAATGGGTAGCTGACATTGGCAACTTTCGACTCCATGCCATTTACAACCTCTCATCTGAAGCAGCTACTCAACTGTTGGGTACAGTAGCTCCTAGTTTAACAGATGATCAGAAGTGGCAAATAGCTGATCTGACAGGAAATGTTCCACTAGCACTGCAAGTCGTAGGGGCAATTTTTAAGTTTCCTGATGCTCCTACGGCAGAGGAAGTGATACAGGGCTTGAGAGAGAATCTAGTTTCCACACTGAGTCCAGACGAACTACATTCAAAAGTTGATGTATCCATGGGTGTTGCCTATAGTTATCTGACACCAGAGTTAAAGCAGTTGTGTGTTAACTTGTCCCACTTTCCAGGCAAGTTCTCCAAAGAGAGTGCTGTAGCCATCTTCAATTTTGAAGGACAAATGCTAGTCAAGTTAGTGCAGAGGTCTCTGCTACAATATGAAAGGAGCCAAAAACAATTCCATTATCACCAGCTGTTAAAAATGTTTTTTAATGGCAAGGGTGCTAAAAAATTACTGTACTATTTTAGTAGCCGATACCAACTCCACTTTGCCCAGTTACTTCAAAAAGCTATTCCAGATAATGTAAAAAAATTGGAACTGGAGATATTGTATAATGAGGTACACAACATTTTGCACATGTTTACACTGTTTATCAGTCACAAACATGTGAATTATACTTTCTTTGCTATTGAAACAGTATCACATAAATTTCGAATAAACATTTTGCTGCGGTTTCTCCCACCATCTACACCATTGCTTTTACTTAAGTGCTTGGATTCTTATTCCTCTGATGAGAGGGCTAGTGTGGAATCATTCTTTGACACATATATTAGAGTAGTAATACTTGCAGCAAAATCGAAACCGAAAGTTAGACATGCAATCCAACTTCTTTCAACTAAACAAACGGAAGTTGACGAAGGATATAAGAACGATACATTAAGCCCTCACATGTACACAATATTTTATAAAATATTGGGAAATTGCTACAATGAGATCGGGGATGTGGAAAAATCAAATCGTTGTTATTCTAAAATTCTTAGAAACACACACAATGAGCTCGATCATTGTTTCCCAAACTGTGACTATTTCAGCCTCTCCGTTGCATATCAGAATATTGGGGACATAGAAATAGCCTTTAACTTCAGAAAGTTTGCATATCACCAAAGGGCATTTTTAGCTCGCATGGATCAAATAAGGCTACAACTACACTTGTACAATGACTATATGAACACATCTCTTGGAAATGACTTCACTGAAGCAGAAGCTTTCGCAGTGGAGATAACTCAAAGAGCATATCAATATCTGCTGAATGCTGACAGAAGTGAATACTCTGAAGAAGTGTACTACATGGCCATCGAATTTTTCAGATCACAGAACTTGGAAGTAAACGTGGTTGAGTTACAGAAGAAAATGGTTGCCAGTGGCATTCCATGTGATTGTGATACAACTGTTAACAAAAGGGGAGAGTACTACAAAAAGACTAGAGATTTATTCTTATTCCCTACAGATGATCCAAATGTTTCACCTAAAATTCTTTGTAACTACAAATGTGCTATAAATCGTGGAGATTCTGCAATTGATGCCTTCAGAAGCAGTACTACCACCTGGCAATCTGGTATGGAGAACAAAGTTATGCAAGTGCAGATAACCTCGGGGAATCTTATGCTGAGTATAAATGTATCCCATCACTGTTTGTTGGGAAGAGTTACTATGAGCTGGGAAACTACTCTGCTGCAAATGTCTGGCTGCATGGTGCTCTGCAATGTATGAATAAGGCTATAAGACACAATTTTCTCTCACTTGCACTGAGAGATGCAAGATTTAGAATCTTGCATTCATCTATTTCTAACTGGAGAAGTGCTAAACATAATATTCTGCTATGTTCACATCATTTGTGACTTTGTGATTATCTGCATTGTATTGGTTTCTCCTATGGTATATCCATGTTTTGCGTGGAAAGACTTTGGACCCCAAGAAATAAACCTGAGCACTACAACATCATTGATGGAGCAGAAACACAGTTTTGTTTGGACCCAAATCAATGTCATTAGCAAAAGTATTAACATTACAAACCATATACAACAATGGACTAACACTCTGCTCCCTGTACTATTCATTGGCGAGCGGGAGCGAGCCAACCTAGTGGTACGAACGGCGCGATATTTCTATATATATATTATATAGACCGTCGTATGTCGTGTAAGTGCGCATGCGCGTATTTGTACGCGCTCTTTTTATCCGAAACTATTTCCAAATTTTCCACATTTTCACACACGGTGCCTCGCGATATGCGCCGATCGATCTATATAGCCAGCTAGAGAACTCTCCTCCCATTCGACGGCATGCGCTGCAACCTTCGGTGATGACCGAGGCTGTACCTCTTCCCAATCTTCATGGTTCCAAGCTGCAACTTGCAAATACGCTAGGATTGCTCGTGCACGTACTGCTGCATGCCAGCTGCCTTGTGAACCACGACTGACGAGTTGAAAGCGTAAGGTAAGTACCGTTCTGCTCACCTGCTCACCGTTCTGCCAATGTACAATACGTTATGTAACGGCGACAGGTAGCTCTGTCTTGCTTCACGAAAGGAAAGCTGTGCGCTGACGGCACGTTGTGCAACCCGAACATCACGGGCAAATCCTAAGTTGGGTCGCTCCCGCTCGCCAACAATGTTGAACATTTGCACTACTTTATATACGACCGACCGTGCATGCAGTGGTGCATGGTCATGGTGGTGGTACGTCGTACGTCGTGTAAGTGCGCATGCGCGACTTCATTTCACAACTAAACTGTGGCAACCAGTCTACAGAGGATGCCCTTCGTCGTCGAAGAGAGAGGGAAAGACAACGTCGTGCCCGTGAGACTCCTGAGCAGAGAGAGGCTCGGCTTTCTCAACAAAGAGAACGTCGCGCCCGTGAGACTCCTGAGCAGAGAGAGGCTCGGCTTTCTCAACGCCGACTGCGTGATAGGGAACGGCCAAGGGAAACAGTGGAAGAAAGGGAAGCACGACTAGCGAGACGTCGTGTACAAGATAGAGCTAGACGCGCTGCAGAATCAGGGGAAACGGAACAGGCCAGGCTCACACAGCTCCGAAACTACCAGGCAAGACGAATTGCTGCCGAGTCCAGCGGGGAGAGAGAGGCCCGCCTGCAACAGGTACTTACGCAGGAATCAAGAACAGAGAATTGCTGCTGAGGCCAGCGGGGAGAGAGAGGCCCGCCTACAGCTGGTACGACAACAACGGATTGCCTCAGAGACTCCACAAGAGACTGAAGCAAGACGTCAGCGTGACCGACAAAGTCACATGCAGCAGGCAAGTATACTGCCACTTCAACCTCAACTTCACCAGCCAATTGGTCCAATCAAACTTTCAACACCTGTATACACATTTCTTGGTTGGATAGCTCGCGCTCGCCAACAATGGTTATAGTTATTAACCCTCGCTGGGTTATTGCTGTGTGTGTGTGTCGTGTGTCCGTCCGTCCGTCCGTCTGTCCACCGTTTTTCTCGGTAACCGCGGCAACTCTGAGCGTGAAAAGTAGGAGGAATGCACGGTAAAATAAGATTCTGGAGCGGAGAAGGCCGGGGAAGCGGGCGAAACGGAGGGCTGCCGAGGTGAGTGTGCGTCAAATAGAGATAAAAGACAGTTGAGTAGGAGCGAGATTGCCAGTGAAGTGAGAGCCAGGAAGCGAATCTGTTCAGTGAAGGAGTTACTGAGAGTAGCTAGTAGCCATTGGCTGCTGAAATAAAGAATAAAGTGGTGACTGAGGGTTATGTATATACTGTCAAGTGCTTTTCACTTTGCTGTAGTAGTAACTAGTATTGAAACGCATGTCCAGAATAATGTGTGACAAGGATGATTGAATAAAGGATAATGTTCACAAAATGAGAGATAGGATGTTAGCTATGGCTATATAAATGTATCTTTGTAGATAAATGGCTGAAGTAAAGTTGAACCTCCATAATTAAGAGTGGCGAGGGTTATGCACTTTGCTGTTTGCTGCTATTATTTTCTAATGACGTGTTGTTGCTCGGTCATTTGTCTTTATGTTTGCCGCACCCTGTACGCAAGTGTGTCAATACTTTACAGTTTTATCATTTTCTTGCCATTGATTGCTGTCTAATATATATTATTTTATCACAAAATTATAGTTTGCCACAATCGCTATGTATGCATAAATTATACTGTATGCGGATTGTATCACTTGTGTCACGTGCGCGTGCATACGTTATTGTAAGGTCACGTGTGTGAATAAAATGTTACTGTATATACGCTCCAGAGCAGGGAAGACGCTCAACGTGATCTCTATCTATATCCCTGCTATTATGGTAATCCCAGACCTAGAACACGCACGCAACAGTTATGCACAAGCTGTTATGGAACCGTGAGCATTGATGAATGATTACCAAATGAGCATAAAATAATGGAAACGAGATCTAAATGCTCTGATACGGCAGGGACCCCTGGATTTTCATGTGTACTCATCAGTAGTTTCATGGCCAATTCCGTCTTTAGGTTTCCAGATGCTCCTATATACTGTGATAAGACTGAAAAAATTCTACTTTTTACTCTAAGTCACCCACATGATGTACATTCCATGTGTGAGGTGTCTATTCGCATGGCTTGTATATACTCTGAACTTAAGCAGTTTGGGAATTTGTCCAACATTCCAGGAGTCATTGATGATGAATGAGTTTGTTTGGATTCAATCCAGAGAATGTTGCTTGACGTGGTTCAAAGATCTCAGTTGCAAACCAGCCACAACAGAGACAGAGATATTATAATTATACCAACTATTCTTTCTTTGTCAAGATAAATCTGACTTTACATTTTGATATCTGGATTCCAGTTTTACTATTCCTTTGGTCTCCAAGAAATCATTTTGGCATATGCAATGATTTGGCACTTATGAGAGAATTTTTTGCCACAGAGCCCATAAATGTTCACTTCAGTGGAATCACAGCGAAACATAAATTTAGATTTCTGTTCTCATGATGAATGCTATGGGATTCTCATTCCCCTGATGCAGAAAACCGGTGAAAGAATGACCAGTTAGGATTAGGCCATGTGCCATCGGAGTGAATGAGAACCACCTCCAAGGGTATATCAGAGCGCGTCGGTAGACGCTCTATGTAGGGATGACACGAGTGAAATCTCACGTGATCCGCGTACAAAACGCCTCGAAACTCGGCGAGAATGGCTAGCTATGCCTTCAAAACACACTACAAATCACTCACGGGTCCATATCTACCTATACATATGCCCAGAAGTTCATACGTCCCTGCAATTCTCGACACGAGAATCCGCTCATACGCGATTTCTGATTTTCGTGTCATTAGAGAGTCGGTAGACTCTCTATATATAGGGATGACACGGGTGAAATCTCACGTGATCCGCGTACAAAACGACTAAAAACTCGGTGAGAATCACTTCCCTAGGCCTTCAAAACATACTAGCAATAGTCTACGGGCCCATATCTACCTATACATGTCCCCCAAGAGCTCATACGCACCTTCAGTCGTCCACGCGAGAATTCGCTCATACGCGATTTCACGATTTTCGTGTCATCATATTCTTCATCTTCTTCTTCTTCTTCTTCTTCTTCTTTAAACCCGCTATCTCCTTACCAGTACCAGTTCAAGCACTGATTTTTTCACTGAAGGTCTCCAATTTCGCCGGAGGTGTGCACGGACATCAAGCGATCGTTTCTTTCTTGCCGCTAGTCACTACGGTAGATCATGGAGCTCTTCCATGGTCGACACTGAACAACGCCATTTGCTGCTTACTCAGCATCGTGATCCCGCCGCGCATGCGCCAGGCAGGGCGTTGTCCAAGGGCGGGCCCTGTTCTAGTCTAGTGGAATTACTGTGCAGATCCATATGAGCGGGGGAACCTGTGAAATAGGTAACAAAGCGTGTATGAAGGAGCCAAGCGGCGTGGGGGGAGGAGAGAGCTGAGCAGAGGGGAACTGGGAAAGGTAGGTGGGAGGTTCGTAGATTCGATCATGGGGGATGAGCGAATAGTGGAGAGGCAAAGCAATGTGCAGGAGCGGGGGGATCGGGCAGATCGCAGGGGGCAGGGGGGGAGGATACAAGGAACAAACGGATAACCGGGGTAGGAGATTTTCTAGTGGGAGGTTTCGAACGGATCATTAATAAGAATGGGCGACGGCTGTCGAGATGGTCGTCCGAATCGTTGCGGTACGGTGGCAAACAGGGGGAACGGGGGTAGGAATGATAGAGAGGTGTATGATGCGGTGGAAGAAGGGATCGCCGGGGAAGGTGTGAAGCTGAGTGGGAGAGGGACAGGGTGTGGTATAGCAGGGGCGTGGCTACACGGGGCTGATAATGGAATGGAACGTAGAATTAGGTAATGTCCTTAATCTAAATGTGTGATTTAGAGGGTTTAGTCGCAGTTGTGCGGGGCGCGCTGGGGTGAAGCGGTTGAGTAGCTGATAGCTTACGGCCAACTGAGAATTCGCTTGAGGTCCGGGTCCAACCTGGAGAGGGAGCTGGGTGGGTGGCGGTTTACAGGGCGTATAGCTGCAGAGGAGGGGGAATAGCGAGGACCAACTGTATGGACTGATTGGGTAGGGGCGGAAAAAAGATAGCAGCGGAGGGAGGGGGTTTCAAAGGTGGGCATAAAGGCTAGGGAAGATAGAGGTAAGAACCGGTGGTCAAGCGTGGTGCGATGTTAACGAAAGAGGGGGAGGGGGAGTGGGGTTCGGCGACAGAGGTCATGATATGGCGTAGGGTATTTAGATAGAGAATCCTGGCGATTGGTGGTCCTAGCCCTGCTATTGGAAAAAACAAAAAGAGTAGAGATAATATGGGCCCAAGGAAATGGAAGAGGGGGCGGCAGGGTTGCGGGTACGTGCTTAAGCGGTCGGTGGTGCCTGTCACAGAGGGCTGCCATAATTGAGTAGGGGCATTGTGGGCAGTGCAGCCGGGTAGCAGTAAAGGTGGGCGATTGGGAACTCGAGAGCGCAGCAGAGTGCGGCGAGAGAGCGCTGGCTATCTTGCTGTTCATTTGCACGAAGAGCAACTTGCCAGAGTCTGCGCGGTGTTAGCCTTGCGGGGCACTCAGTGCAAATGGGCCTTCATTGTTTGTCCCCCAGGTTGTAGCCTGATTACCAAAGCCTGCCAATGAAAACCACAACCATGTGCAATAATCTAATTACAATCCTTGTTGAAGACAATACATGGTATCTCAGCAGCCCCATTAGCTACTACTTACAATTTGTCTATGGTAGCCTATCTACAACATATGCCATGAACAATCAGAGTGACTGTAACAATAAATGCCAAAAGCTGTTAAAAATAGTGGAAACAGTGGAAAAATCATTTTCTTCAAAATGAAAGGGGGGATATAGGGATGGCTTGAAGCACCAAAAAGGAAGAAACAAGGGGTCATTACACAGCAAAGTTGCACAAAGCTACATGACACCATCCCTATATCTTTGTGTTTATATAATATAGTTCACAAGTAAAGTTTACTATGAACAAAGATATAGGATGGTGTCATGTAGCTTTGTGCAACTTTGCTGTGTAATGACCCCTTGTTTCTTCCTTTTTGGTGCTTCAAGCCATCCCTATATCCCCCTTTCATTTTGAAGAAATGATTTTTCCACTTGTCATAATTATTATTCTTCTTCTTCTTCTTTAGACCCGCTTTCTCCTTACCAGTACTCAGTTGGAGCGCTGATTTTTCACTGAACGTCTCCAATCTCGTCCGAGGTGTGTACGGACATCAAGCAATCGTTCTTCTTTCTTGCCGCAAGTCACTACGGTAGATCATGGAGCTCTTCCCATGGTCGACACTGAACAACGCCATTTGTTGCTAACTAACTCGGCACCAGTGAGCCGTGCGCATGCGCCGGGCAGGGGAGAACGGACCGCGTGGTGCTAGCTGTGTGCTCCGTTTGGCGGCTTGTTTTTCGCTCGCCTGAGTTTGCTCCCGAATTTGGGCCTAGCTATCCGTCTTGTGGTAAGGAGTTACTATTGTGTGTACTTTAGCTAGCTGCAATCCAGCTCATTGTGAATTTTCTTTCGAGGTTCCACGCGACGAATTTTCCCCACGACTTCACGAGACAGCCTCCACGTGACACTCCGTGTCTGTCTTGTCCGCACTGCTGCTACTATTGTGCTGGAGTCGCCACGGTCAAAAGTAAGTCTTGCTATTGCGATTACGAATATATATAAATCACGTATAATTTACTCCAAGGTCTGTGCGGCTTGGGTTTCTGGAGTTGGGGCCACAGTTAATTATGATTCAAGGCAAGTTGTCTGCATTACCCTCATTGCCTATTTTAATAGGGGTGCCTGACAACTCTCCTTCCTGCATCCCTTGGCCTCTAGCTAGCACTTCTCTGCTGACAGTCGTGGCTGATAACAAGAACCTCACCCTGTTTCTTCAATCGCAAGGCCCTCCACTGCGCTCTACCACCGCTCTGCTGTCGTCACTGCCACCCGGGCTTCTCCATCCTTTGAGATAAGTTCAAGTTTTTGCCTTATCGCTTGAAAAGGAGGGCAGTAGATATTATGTGCAGAATTCCGAGAATATAAAGGCTAGAGGTAGATCCCTTTGTCAGTCAGACCCTGGTAAGTGGCTAGGACCTCCTATCATGCTGACCCTGGTAAGAAAAAGGCAGCTGTTGCCCAGTTGAAGGAAAATATTGCTGATATGGCTGCACTATAGATGTAACACAGACAGTGGGAAGGATACCCAGCCATTATAAGATTATCTGGGAGTTGCTTGGCAGGTGGGGCTCTGAAGTGTTTTCCCTTATCACCACTGCTGACTTGTACATTCCTTCACCCTTATCCCCACTTCCAACCTAGCCTTTGTTACAGTAACAACTCCTATTGTAAGCCTACTCCTTACATTGTCTGTCTACTCCTCTGTATTATGATTTGATGGTGCTATATGTTCAAATGGTTGGACTGCAACTGCACTCTCAAGCTACAACCTGAACCCTACAAACTTCTGGCTTCTACTGCCCAGTCGCTACTAGCTATATACCCTGGGCTCCACCTTCACTTCAGCTGGAATAGACCTCTCCTAAAGAAAAAAACTGTCATTCACATTCACAATTCCACAACAAGCATATTGTACAAGTGGAAAAATCATTTCTTCAAAATGAAAGTGGGATATAGGGATGACTTGAAGCACCAAAAAGGAAGAAACAAGGGGTCATTACACACCAAATATGCACAAAGCCACATGACACCCATCCCTATATCTTTGTCTCATATTAAACTTTGCTTATGAACAATAAAACAAAGATATAGGGATGGTGTCATGTGGCTTTGTGCATATTTGGTGTGTAATGACCCCTTGTTTCTTCCTTTTTGGTGCTTCAAGTCATCCCTATATCCCACTTTCATTTGAAGAAATGATTTTTCCACTTGTTTCCACTATTTTTAACACCTTATGACACACTGCATTTTCAGTCGCTCTGATGTTCATGGCTATGTGTAGAGATAACTGTTGAAAGCAGAAGCTAATGACTGCTCTTACCTGAAGCAGTGTATATAATTATACGCAGTGTCTCCAACAAGGACGCGATTAGGTTGTGGCACATATGGTGGTGGTTTCATTGGCAGGCGTCAGAAATCAGACTACATGATAGCTATAACCTGGGAACAAGAATGAAGCGCTGGGCAAGGCACGCGTACACGGCGCAGATTGCCAGTTGCTCCTCGTGCAATCAACAAGCTAGCCACTTACAAATGTGTGCACTGACTTGCAGAAGGCACTAGAGGATAGAGTAGTTTTTCTCTGCAGGCATCCATCCTGGCTTAGTCTCGTTCGTGGACCAGTTACGAGACAAAATGCGCGCGTACCGCATTGGAAACGCCCTCCTCTGCGCATGCGGCTCACTGATGCTGAGTTAGCAGCAATGGCGTTGTTCAGTGACTACCGATGAAGAGCTCAACGATCTACCGTAGTGACTTGCGGCAGGAACAAACGATCGCTTGATGTGCGTGCACACCTCCGGCAAATTCGGAGACGTTCTGTGAAAAAATCAACGCTTCAAGTGCTTCGGTAAGGAGCTAGCGGGTCTGAAGAAGAAGAAGAAGAAGTGAAGATGAAGAATATGATATGATGACAACGAAAATCGTGAAATCGCGTATGAGCGAATTCTCGCGTGGACGACTGAAGGTGCGTATGATGTCTTGGGGGACATATATAGGTAGATATGGGCCCGTAGACTATTGCTAGTATGTTTTTGAAGGCCTAGGGAGTGATTCTCACCGAGTTTTTAGTCGTTTTATACGGATCACGTGAGATTTTCACCCGTGGAATTTCACCCGTGCGTCCTATATAGAGAGTCTACCGACTCTCTGATAATGAATGTGGTTTAGTTTTGTACTTGCGCATGTGCCCGCTAGTCTCTCACGCAAGAATTGCGCAAATTGCAAACTATGTCACGACCATCCCCCCTTCACAATGCACTGTGAGTGTGTGTGTGATCAAATCTTCAGTCACAAATATGCAGTGCATAAATTTACACCCCACGCGTGTGTGAACCCTAATGCGTGCAGCCCCTCGCTTGCCGCTCTGCACCGCGAAAAGGTGGGGCTGAACATGTGCCAAAAAAGTAAGTGGAACAGTGGAAAAATCATTTCAAGTGGGATTTAGGGATGGTGTAGATGATACCAACAAGAAAGATGCTTCGGCTGAAAACAAAAATCATACATCCATCCCTACATCTTTCTTTAACCTCCACCTATGAGACAGAGTTCAGAGGTGAAGTCGCAGAGAGGGATGGGACAACCTCAACTCTGATTTGTTATGAATTAGTATACCCTACACCAAAACTGAGTGCCTACACATTCTTCGACAGAGCTGAAGAAAGAAAGTGTAGGGATGGATGTATGATTTTTGTTTTCAGCCGAAGCATCTTTCTTGTTGGTATCCTTTTTCATAATTTACACCATCCCTACATCCCCCTTCATTTTGAAGAAATGATTTTAACACTTGTAGAATACAGGATGTCGCGTTCATGTCACATGATAGTTTTAAATCCGGAAATCTGATTGAGTTACCCGTTTTCCGAACATGCTGACTCAGCACAACCTAGAATCGGAACTGGGAACGAGACTAATAAGAAGGGGTGCACGTGTCGCATTGAGCCCCGCCCCCCTATGCGAGTTTGGATCGGACCAGCCCCACCCCATTCTAGAGACCTTCTGCTCTCGTCCACAGACCGGAAAGAATGGCAACTGGTAGGAGATCTCTTCTTATAGTCTGTAGCCTATGTAATGGTCAGGACTTTGCTATCCTACAGCAGGTACTACACCAGACTTCCTAGACAAACGATTGCTGCAAGATGATGTTCCAGATATAGTTGCAAACATACTGGACGCACAAACTAAATCAGAGCTGTTAGGTCGTGTACTCAAGCTGTCACCGTCCAGGGTGTCTGGAATTCTTATGCAGTACAAGGATCCAGAAGAGTGCCTGTTTCATGTCATTGATGAGTTTGTGAACAAGTGGACCCCACACCTACTTGGAGAGTCATTATAACCGCCCTGAGGCACCCCACTATTCGACTAACTGGTTTGGCAGATGAGATTGAAAGTAAACATTGTCCCCCAACAATGTGTGGTATGTATAGCTACCTGTTGCTTGCTACCTTACTTTTGAACTATACTACGGGCAATTTTTACAAAAACCTCAGGCCAATATGTTTGGACTGTTCATAATATCTACTTGATTCAACTATATACAAGTGGAAAAATCATTTCTGTGAAATGAAAGGGGATGTAGGGATGTCACATCATGAAAAAGAAGGGAACAAGAAGATGCCTATATACACCGAGACAGAAAGTCATTCATAACCCCATCCCTACATCTTTGTTTTATATAATATAATTATAGGTAAACCAGTTTAGCTATGTAGCTATCAGAGCGTTGGTAGACTACAACTATAGTTTGTATAATGCTCATGCATTCATGACTAGAAAAAGATTGAAACACAAAGATGTAGGGATGGGGTTATGAATGACTTTCTGTCTCGGTGTATATAGGCATCTTCTTGTTCCCTTCTTTTTCATGATGTGACATCCCTACATCCCCTTTCATTTCACAGAAATGATTTTTCCACTTGTTGCAGTCATTTTTTATGGCTAGTATGCATCTGTAAGCCTTCATGCTTTATAAAGATGGTTATGTTTTGTCATGGATCTGTAGGGAATGAAGCATTGATGATTTATATGTTACAAAGTTGCAGAAGGACAGGAACGTGAGATTTCATCCATAAATAGAGCCTTTCTACTGTGAGTATATATTGTTATTTGATAAGGTTTGTTTATTCTTACACGCTGCAGGTAAAGAGCTTGGGTTGTGGAAGTGTGTATCTCATATTATGCTAGAGGAGTGGTAACTGGAGTGGATGGAGAGGACTTCAACCTTCATCGAGTTTCACTTCATTTTCTCTCTTGTCCTTATTCAGTCAACACTGTTTTCCATGTAAATTCTATGTTTATGTGTAAGACTATGTTACTCTCACAGACAGTATTCTTCCTTGAATGAGCTCAGGCAATGATGACTATTTCTGAGGTACAGTATAAGAAAGCAAAAAGGGCTGGAGAAACAGAAAATTAAAGTGCAAACCCTCTGCGAACTGCGCATGCGCCGTACCGCTAACTAATTGATGGGCTGGTCTCTCGTATTTCTTCTAGGCCGCCTCGTTGCCTGTAGTGCCAGAATAAGCGTTGACAGACAGACAGACAGACAGACACACACACACGGAAGGAAGGACTTCTGTAACCCTCGGTGCGCATGCGCGCCGAAGGTTAAGCCGCCCGACGTTGACAGCAGGGAAATAGAATGAGTAGGACGGTGCAGGGCGGATCTAATGTTGACCCACCAAGGTTGCTGATGAAGATGGTAGCAAGGAGAATTCAGGGGGCATCTAAACCAGCACGGCGCGCCACGCGCGTACCACCCCGCCGTGTGTGGGCGGGGCGGGCTGCGCAGTGTACGTGTGTTTTGCCATGCGCACGTGCGCGCACGCACAACGTATACGTATATACCGCGACCGACCGCCTACCGGTAATTGTGTGCGCACTGCGCACGCTACGGCGCGCGTGCGACGTATATATGCGCTCCCCAGAGTTGCGGAAATCATGAAATTTTTTGCAGTGGAAATCAGTGTGCCACAAGAGGTGACCGTTGAAGAAATGTTGGGTGGTGTACTGAATTGTTGGAATGGGACTAAGATAGAGGGAGGCCGATAGTGAATGATCAGTTCAGTTCAGTTATACTCAAGTCTGTGACTTTTCCTGCCTGCAGCAGTCAGTTTCCCATGCTGGGCTGGCTGTTGGACTGGTCATCAGACTGCATGCCATGGGGCTGGAGAGCTGGGGGCTGCCGCGGCTGCGTGAGGCCAAAAATGTTGACAGTGCACCTGGTGAGCTGCAAAGGGGAAGTGGAGCGAAATTAGGTTACCTGAAAATGCTGCAGTGTATTTGCATATTGTTGTGATGGCTAACTAGAAGAATGTTGAACATTGTTGGCGAGCGGAAGCGACCCAACTTGGGATTTGCCCGCGATGTTCAGGCTGCGTAACGTGCCGTCAGCGCACAGCTTTCCTTTCGTGAACCAAGACAAAGCTACACGTAAAACCTTCCGGTATGTGTAGTGGTGCCCGTCGCATATAACATAAAAAAATCCGCTGCAACGAACCGGCTAGGCTGGCTCGCTCGCTCCCGCTCGCCAATCAAGTGAAGTGCTAGCTAACCAAAGTGTATTTGATTTCATGTGGGGCCGTTAAATTTGCCATAACTTGGATCAAATTTGAGAAATTATGGAATCCTCGCTCTTCCAGTCTAACCATAAGTTTTACTAAGCCTGAATACCTACCAGTCAAAAGTTTGGTGTATGTCCCATAAGAAAAGTATGCTCTAGGTGAAAGTATCCCATAGGTAAATTATGCTGTTTACAGTATTTTAGGGTCCAGTGAGCACGCCTAGACTCTATTTGGGGAAGCTGCTGTCCTTTTGAAGTAATGTATTTTAGTTTTTTGGGCTTCTGGGTTGAGTAAAGTTTACTTATTGTAAATTATGTGCAAAGGGCCAAGAAACACAAAGAAATATTTTGAAGGAGTAGACTCTTTGTCCTTGTGAGGTGGGATCTGGGAAGAGGCTTGGGTTGACAGTGGGAAAGATTGTTTTAAATTTTATTATTTTTTTATTTTTATGGACATTGAATTTGGTGAGCGTATATAGGTTTTTTGGCTTTGAATTTCACTAAACAGGTTATATAACAGGCTTGCTTGAATGGACTAAAATTTAGAAGTATGCAATACAAATTTGGCTGGGTCACTTAAAGCTGAAAACTCCCCTAGCAAAAAAGGTTTCTAGCTCCAGAGGACTGATATCTAGTAAAACAAGTATATACATGCAAAGGGTTATTTCATGTAGGAAATGGAGCTGAGAATGTATATACATACATGCAGGATTGGCTGGTCGGCAGCAACAGATGGCTGGATGTGAGAACGAGGAGGGGAAAACAACGATTGATTCACAGGAGAACTGTGTGCTCGTGCTCCTCTTCCTGTTCCACGACGCCCTCGCCCTCGCCCTCTCCCTCTCTCTCTTCCACTCCCTCCTGGACTCCCTGTTCCACGTCTTATGGGTCCATGTCTTCCAACACCCAGTGGAGCTCCCTGTTCAGGCCGACGCCGAGCTGCTCCATGAGCATGATCCAAAATTCGTGAAGGTCCTGGTATGGAGGGGGGGACAACAATTCCAGCTCCTGTTGCAGCAGCAATGCTGGGAGCTTGCATAAATGGCTGAGATGGGGGTGGAGGAGTGGGAACTAGATGGGCATTGCTGCGGAGTACCCTCAGTGGTTGTTGGGGAGTTTGTTGTGGCCCTGCTGGAGATTGTGGAGGGGTCAGTTCTTGTGCATCCACTTGTGTGAGGGATTGCTCTAGAAGTTCTGCCCCAGAAGAAGAGAGATCTGACAATCCACTCATGGTTTCACACTTTGTCAACACTTTTTCTCTGCTATAGACTATTCTGTTGTTGCTCACAGACTATTCTGTTGTCTTGTCGCTCGTCTCACTTGAATTTCTGAAAAATGTTCCTTTGCGCCGGCATTATAAACCGTCGCGGCACGCATGCGTGGTGTTCGTCGTAGTAGCGCGTATAATTGTACGTAGAGATAGAGAGTGTTATGTACGTACGTATATAGCTGCGTCGTCTTTAGCTGCATCACGTGCGCCTTTATAGGAACGCAAAACCCGCTGAGTCAGCGCTTTCTGCAGAATGGCACGCTAGCTAGCGTTTGCAAGGCTATAATATACGATTATTCTCCGTGGTTCAATCTTGGGCATATGAACAATCGAGAGATAGCAAGGTCTTAGCCTTGAGCACAAGCCAGCGCCACTATATACCTTTCACAGCTACTATACTTCATTATGCGAGAACTGCTCAGGAATGTTAATTATGCGAGAACTGCTCAAGAATGTTGATTTTGCGCAACCTCCTCCGGCGGCGTATTATCGCGCATGCGGTGGTAACGCTTAATCAGGAAGTAGAAAAGTTATATATATATATAATATCATCACAGGATAGTTGTCTGCTAAATAAAATGTCCAGAAAAACAGACACAAATAAACACATTATAGAGAGAGGAGAGAGTTGACAGCATTGCAATGACACTGTCCACCTCAAGCAGGTTAAGTGTTGCCCCTAGAGGAAGAGAGAGCAGGTGGGTTTGAGGGGGGCATTCTGGGTATGTCAAGGAATATTATTACACACAACGGTAAAACGAGGCTAAAGTATCCCATTGCTGATAGCCCGGAATAGCCCCCAGAGAGCCACACAGGTAGGGTCTTTCCAAGGAAATGTAGGAAGGTAAACTGTCCTAATGAAAGAAGGGGAACAATTTAATTACCTATGAAAACGAGGGCCGGCCTAGACTGGGAGTAGCAGTAGGGTGCACCCCAGGTGCACTTCAGTGCAGATGCACAAGCAGTACTATACAGTAGTATACACCAGTTTGGAAGAGCTTGGGGATAACTGTAACCCTCTAGGAGAGGTGGGGGATCAGAGAAGTTGGTGGCAAAAATTTCTGTATAGACCAAGACACTCCTCAGGAGAGGAAAGAGGTGTGGGCAACAGAGTGAAAAGACAGAGAGAGAAGAAATTGAACAGAGAGAGGGAGAGTAAATACTAAGAATTATTATGTGATGAAAACTCAGGGAAGGTTGGGAGATTTTGAATGTGGATAGTTGAATGGGTGACTTAGTTAGTGTGGTGGGTAGAATAGTGAATTTGGCTTACCAACGACAGATGAGGATGCGAGAATACCAGTATATACACAATACTGCACTTGCACCATGAGGGTATATGGATGGGGGGGGGAGAAAAACAGGCCAGCTCACTATAATTATGCAGGTAAGAAGTAAGGGATATTGTGAGGGTTATTGTTTTTTCAAGGGTAAGGTATCACTTAAAAAGTGCTATCACACAGTCACCCCATTTCTTGCTGTGGTGAAGGCAATTAGGAATAAGGGGTAAGGTACACCATTACAGGAGCAAAAATTGTTTGTATAGGAATGTAGCTCCTTTTTAGGAATCAAAACAGACACATAATACTAGGCTCAGTTACAGAAAACATTGCATTAACACTTACTTTCTATGCATATACCCCTGAGGTGTGCTCTGACTGACCCAGACCTATGGAGGTAGAGAACTACAAGTTGGAAAGATATGACGATGGGACCTTTTACCTTCAGATAGTTACTATTTGAAGGAGACAACTGGAGGTAGAGAGCTTCCCAGGGGAAAACAGATAATATGGAAAAGAGGAGCCTATAAATAGTAACCACCTTGTTCAGAATACTATGTGAAGGTGCATGTAGGAAGGGTGCTGATATACTGCATACAATATTAAGGTGCACTGATGTTTAGGTGAGTAGTGTGTAGCTTGAATGTAGTAGTACCCCAACAGGTGTAGCTACTGACTGTAGAGTGCACTCCTCAAGGGAGGAGGATCATATTAGTGTCAGAGCTAAGACCAGTCTCCTGAGGGATTACTCACTACTGTTGGCATACAACACAATACTGTCAGTGTACAGAGTACACAGACATTCACCTCTAACAGTGTGCTACCTCAACTCTGTGATGCAGTTACAGTCCCCCTAATGCACCTTCCAGGCTAGTTAAAGACAGTGCAGTTCGCCTACACTTTGAAATGAGTCAGCTCCATGAAGTCTGAGACTTTAGGAGGATGGTTAGAACATGAAATGGGGAAGCCACCTCAACTAAATTGCAGGGACCCACCCTCTTCTTCCCCAACATGTTCAGAAAGTCCATGTACCATGATATCAGGATGTGTAAATAGGAATTCTTACATGTTCTATATACAGTGGTTATAGCATGAAATGGGGAAGCCACCTCAACTAAATTGCAGGGACCCACCCTCTCCTTCCCCAACATGCACAGAGACACAGAGAGCCTATGTATAGTCTATATTAGCACATGTGGTTACACTAATTCTTCCTTATGGAACCAACAACATTGAAGTGGTTTCCTGTGTGCAATAGATACATAGACCTCTGGTGAATGTCATCCATCAGTTGTCTGTCGACATCATGAGGAGAGTACCGCTGCCACTGCCCATGCTGCTGGCTGTATGAGAAGACAGGAGTCTGGAGCAGGTGTGCCAAAGACAGCATCTCAATGTCAGTTCCCCAGGTCCCATCTTGGTCCATGCCTGTGGAAGCTACATAACTTTGAATACTGTCATAGCCTACGAGATGGTGGCCTAGGAAATATTGGGCATTATTTGTCATGTGGTCAATGATAGCATGTCGTACACCAATATGCTGATCTGCAGACCCTGTCAGAATGTAAGAAAATGCCCGAAAGAGGCAGTTACCATCTCCCTGTACGCGTCTCACGCTACGCATGTCTGGACGTGTGAGAGGGACAGTGGGTCCTCCTGGTCTTACTGGTGTTTGTGTACAATATTGGAGGCCCAGCTCTTGGCATGCACTTTGCTGCCACTGTACATCTACAGAGTGGAAATTGAAAGGAGTAGCAGCAGGTGTTTCTGTACCTGTAATAACACAGTCCTCATTATCCCTTGCAGATGTGGGATTGACCTTGACCTTTTTTACACTTGGGGAAACAGTTTTGTCTACACCAGTGAGCTTCCTATTTCTTCTAGAAACATGTGGTATATCATAGAGAGGAAGGTCAGGTCTATAGGTTTTTCTGAGGCGGTTTACTTCCCCCAGGGAATTCACACTAACACTGATGGACTGGGGATCAAAGGCTGTTAGGAACAGTCCATCTAGTGACCTAACCCTGGATAGAGCCACATATGCCATTCCATCACTGAATACCTCCTCAGACAGGTCTACTATGGCACAGTCTAATGACAGACCCTGACACTTGTGGATGGTAATTGCATAGGCTAAAATGAGAGGGAATTGTCTACGATACACATAAAAATTCTTCATCACCATGAACCTGCTTCTGACCTTATCAATCTTGCATGGAGCAGGTACATTATCAAACTGCACAGTCACATGCTGGGCTGCTATCGACAGCACTGTACCAATAGCACCATTGACCAGCCCAGCCTTGGTGTCAATGTTGCGACGTAGCATAACTCGTGCACAGACTGCAAGAGACAGTTTGGCTTCCAACCCAGCTGTCATGTTGCAGTCAGCGTTCAGTTTATCTAAATGCTCAATGACCTTCTTGGTCATCTTCCTATTGCCTGCTGTTTCGTCAATCTCATCAGTACAATAAATGTCATGCACTTCGGAAGCATTCTTGCGGAGCATTTGTGCATTTAGGTCATCACACGCTTTCCTCTTGGGAAATAAGCAAACAGGTGCCTTGCCAGACTGTTTTAGCTCAGAAAACTTGTCTGAGACAGACACCTGTATGACCCTCTGTTTCAACACACTCACAGTTTCCTTGGTTGGACAACCACGTCTCACACAGTCCAACATGGAGGAAAACTGTGGATCACTTTTCTGACGTTCATTGATAGTCAACTCATCATAGGTAACACAATCTCTCCAAATATTGATGGCAGCTGCACATCCTAGTTGGGACAGGATTGATTTAGTGGCAACCTTCTCAAAAACAGGATTCCCATGGACAGGTGGGAGTTGGAGGAGGTCACCTACAAACAGCATGTTCCGAGACCCAAACCACTCACTGCTACCAAACAACTCCTCTAGCCTCATGTGTACAAAAGCCAGGTTGATACTGGAAACCATAGAAATCTCATCTATAATAAACAATCTCACTTCAGAGAGAGTTGCTCTCATGACCTTCTGGGATGTTTTGGGCAGTGGCCAATAGCTAGTGGCTTTGGTAGCATGCTCAACAGGGAGTTGGAAGAGTCTGTGGATAGTGATACCGCCTACATTGAATGCTGCAAGCCCAGTTGGTGCTGCAATACCACAGAGGAGGCCTTCACTACTCCACAGACTATTCACTAGGGCCTTGATGGCCTCAATGAGAAAGGATTTACCAGTACCACCCACACCACTAACAAACAATCTAAGAGGTGCAAAATTACACAAACACTGTTTTGCCTCGTGACACTTTTGGTGCAGGAAGTGAGCCTTGACATTCTCAAAGACTCTGTTCTGGTCCTGATTCAGCATGGACACTCTCTCATCTAGGGTCAGCCGACCAGGGGTACTGGCTTTCATGTCTAGAACTTCTGTCATGGCTGTTCTAGCTTCACCTAGCAGCTGAGGCTGATTGTCTTCTTTGGCTTCTTTTTCTTCCATGTTGGCCTGACGTGCTTCATTAATACTCTTTACATTTGATGCTGCTGCTAACATTGTCCTCAGCTTCGAGTGGTAGCTTTGAGCTCTGGCTAGTGAGTAGTCTATGAAATGCCTGCTCAGCTGTCTCATTACCCTGCAGTAAACTACTCTCGTCTCTAAATGGAGAGAACAGTAACACTAGGGAGTAGAAATAATCTTGTTTCTGGTTCTCATTTTCAGGGTCAAAGATTTTGTGGTTAGGGAGTTTAGGCTTGCTAAGTTTCTTGTACACTCTCTGACCATTTGTGTCGACACCCTGAAACTCATAGTTGGCAACAAAGTCATACACACAAACATTCTCAAGGGTGGCTGGTCTCTGAGGATAGAATGTATCTAGGACATTATCCTCAAATATGTTCTGATTATCTGGGTTCAGCCTAGCCATTTCTTGTAAGACTTTGTGGTTCTTCAGTCTACGGGATCTCTTGTGGGGCATGGAGATGTCTACCCACTTGACTGTGTCAGACTTCTCAGTGAGGTGGTCTCCCAGGAGCAGATCACTGGCCTCATACAGACCACACTCTCTGAACCGTAAACTTCTAACACCAAAGCTGAAAAGGCGACTGTAAATGCTCTTGTTCTCACTAACTTCCTGCCAGATGTCTTGCATGTTGCTACGCTCAGCCTTGGTGACATAGCCACTGACATAGTGAGCAAGAGCTAGAGAGGCTTCGGCTACAAACTGAATGTCTATATTAGCCTTCCACAGCATCAATAACAGTGGGTTGTAGTCATTCACCCTTGTCTCAGCCAGCGTACGGACTAACTGGTAAATTCGGTTGCGTGACTTAAGGCTCTCCTGGACTGGGTTGAGCTGAGCAGTCTCACACACTGGCCTGGGAAACCCGAACCTACACCTGGTGATGAATGCTGTCTTTCCACACCTTTTCCGCCTCTTACAGTACTTGCTGCACTTGTGCATCTGGTATCTGGTGACTAGTCTGTGCAGCTCAGGGCTACCCTGTTCATCGGGAATGTGGCAGGTGATTCTATCCTGGATCCAGTCTAGCACCTTCTCGGGATCGTCTCTATCAATGAGTGGTGCATCTCTAATCCAGAGCAGGACATGGTAATGAGGAGCCCCACGATTCTGATACTCCTTCTTCCAATAAAAGTGGTCTACAATACCCAGGACCTGACCTTTCAAAATGACCTTTCGGAAAAAGGCACGGAATTTGAGGGAAAATTTCCTGGAAACTGAGATTGGGTCCTCAACACACAGCTTCCCAATGTTGTAACTGGGAGGAACATTGTTCACCTTCTTAAGAAAGTGAGTGATATCAGGGGACTCATATTCAGCACAGCTAAAGGTGAGGAAAAGGGTAGGCGAGCCCCACTCACGTATCATGCACTTGAGTTCACTGTGTCTGAGGAACGAGAACTGTTTGGTACCACGGACTGACTGGAGCATGGTGCACAAACGTGCTTCTAGCTGCTCGTCTGCGGTGTTCACCTGCTCTAGTAACAAGCTAACAGACATGGACTGTCTCCTGGTACTCTTTAACAAATTGTAAACACCTGATGTGAGTTCTCGCATTTCCTTCTGCCACAAAAGGTAAAACACATATTGTGCATCTTTACGGAACGCGAGTCCTTGTTAAGCAGCCTAGATTTGACGTACTCACTGGGAGAAATCTTCTCTTTTCGAGGATGGAACTCTCCAAACTTCCCAGTAGGGAAGAGCACAGGGAAACAAATCACATCTAAGTGACTGTTGCTTGTTTGGTAATAGGGTCCTCTGTGATGCTCATAAGTCTGTTACTGCTCTAAGTCTGAACCAATGGAGAGCTTGCTATCCAGGTTTCTAATGGTGGTAGGCCTGAAATGTATCTACCTCATCTGGGGAAACCTTTTTCAACATTTCTGTGGTTGCATTGTTAGAGACCTCAATGATGTGCTTAGTGCTCTCATCAATGCATTTCTCATGTACATCTCTGTATAGCCAGTTACAGGACCTCAACTTTTTTATTGCAGTCTTGACATCGTTGACATCCACCAAACTACGCCACACAACATTACTCTTGGTTGGCCTACCATTGACAATAATGTACAACTCAGGGTCAGGTAGGACAGAGGTATGCTGTTGAACTTGTTTAAGGTTTCTATGGTCTTGTTTAGTGGCAAGGGAAGGAAAACATTGTGCCTTTGCAGGCCTGCAGGGAATTGTATGTGGGCACTTTACCAGTATAAGTACCTAATCTAACAATAGTCAGATAGCACTTGGCCCTCTGGATAAGCTGTCTACTAAGTAGGTCTAATGCAGCTAGTTCTGGGGGAATGGGAACAGTCTGCAGACCATTGAGGACACACCGTGCAGGCATTATCCCAATTCTCACCCTGCGCTTGCAGTAATAGCACATGTACAACACTGGACCTGAAACAGTTGGAGGATACTTCAAAATATGGGCCTTCAATTCACGCCATATCTCAGAGTTATAGTCATCAGAGAGACTAACAACT